AATTGGGGAATAATTGACATTTCCTCAAAGGTACAAATCTTAAGCACAGAGCATAGAGCATATATGTGAGGAAGCACCACACTCAAGACATCAACGTTTCTAGAATCTCGAGGCTCCCTCCCACTCCCTCCCAGTTACTTGCACTCTGGGTCATCGTTTTTTTGACCTCTATCACAATAGATTAGTTCTGCCTATTCTTCAGCTTCATACAAAAGAAATCATACTCTTTTGTCCGGCTCTTTTCACTCAGCATAATGATTTTGAGATCTATCATGTTTCTTTTAGCAAGTTTATTCTTGTTCATTGCTGTCTAGTATTCCATTATATGGATACATTCTTAACTTGAATTATTCATTCTCTTTTTTCTTCTGGCTTTTTCAATTTTTTAAAAGTTAAGGTATCATTTATATGCAGTAAAATTCACCTTTTTGAGTACACAGTTCGGTGAGTTTTGACAAATGGACTGTTTGGTAAACTGCCACCACAATCAAGATATAGAACATTTTCATTCTGCCCTTGATGGATTATTTGGGACTATTTCAAATTGTGCTGGGAATATTCCAGGAGTAGAATTGCTCCAAGGTTGCTATACCAACTCACCTTCCCACCAGCAGTGTCTGAGAGTGCTGTTCCATATTTTCATCAAAATTGGTAAATTTTACTTTCTCTTAACCAGAAAATGTGATTGTTATTTATAGCAAAGAACTCAGTTAACTGTCAAATGCTGAACCTACATGCTGTGATGTGGCAGCAGCAGGGGTTCCAGCCTGTTTTCTAACTCTCCCATGATGAAATACTTATCTTAATTTTTTCTCAAGTCAGATTCTTTAAAAAGTTAAAGTAGTCACTTTGGAGTTAACTGACTGTAGGTTACTGGCTTGAGTCCATCCCGTGACAACAGCTCATAACCATCTAGAAAACTTATCATTTCTAAAAAGTCTTTATCCCTGGAATTGAGCACACAGGCACCCTACTTTCCAGAAGCAATAAAACTGTTGGTGGTGCAGAAAGGAAGGCATTTAGACAAGGAGTCTATAGCCACGTGGAATCTGGAAACAATCAGGGAGGGAAGTTGAGTAATGATGGAGAAGTTGCTGTTCTGCAGCCATGAAAATCACGCCTTGAGAGAATCTTAGATGATGTGAAGTTATTCAGTCTATTGTTCAGAGAAGACGGTTATGGGACAGAAGGTAAGATGCATTCCCACCCAACCCACAAGGGAGTTTGTGTGGGTGCCAAACAGGGCTGCTAGGATTGCCTCCGCCCCTGCCAGCCCACAGAAGCACAACCGCCCCTGGGAGGGGGGTGGTGACCGCAGCTGCCAGGCTCTGAGTCAGCTGGGCCTGGGGCAGCGGGAGGGGAAGGGGCCTCACGTGGCTGAGCCTGAGCTGCCTCGTGGGGCCTCCTGGCTCTCAGCCCTGCAGGAAGAGCTGCGTTTGAAAGGACGAATCACATGCTGCCTCGTCCCCCTGGAGCCTAGCCAAGACATGGGGCCTGGGGCTCCCTGGAGGAGGACTGGAGGAGGGTGCCTCCTGGGTTGAGACTAGGAGTACTGGGGAAGGAGGTCATTCAACCAGGGTGGGCAGGGAACTCCCAAGGTTGAATTATAGTGGGTAAGCAGGGCAGGGATTATGGCCTCTAGGAGCTGCGGGTGGGGGCTGACTTAGTCTCTGTGGTGACTTTGAGGGGACACACAAGGGGAGGGGATGAAACAGGCTGAAATTTATGGACATGAACACCTTGCTCAGCACACGTGTAACATCAGGAAAGTTACTTGATCTCAGTGTCTCGATTTCCTCATCTGTAAAATGAGGGACAGTAAAGTCCCTCCTTCAAAGGGTTGTGGATTGGATCAAATGAGTCAGTACATGTAAAGCACTAAGAACAGGGCCTGCCTATGTCAAGTGCCAAGAGTCTGCTATGGCTGTTATTACTCAGAGCCAACGTGGGGATTACAAGACCAGACAGGTAAAAAGGATAAGCCTAAAATCAATTAAAAGAAAGGGGCCAGCCTGAGGGTTTTGGACATGCCCCTGGGTGATGGGTTACAAAGGAAAGCCTAGCTGCTGTGTAGGAGACTGGTGGCTATAGATGGAGTTGGTGGAGACAGAGGAGGAGGAGGCCGTCTGGTGGCTCACACAGGGCAAGGCACCCCTGAGATGGCCCAGGAAGGTGGAGGCAGATGGAAGAACAAGGCTTGCCCTACTTTGGTCCCTTTTAATCTAGGCCAACCATATCTATTCAATCTCAGTCCACCTGGGCTCTCAATAAAGCAGATTCTCTCTTCCTCTTAGATTCCTCCTCTACAATTTGAGAAACAGCTTGACATCCTTATCAGGGAGTCATTCCAAAAATCCACTGCCTGGGGCTGGCAGATTCCACCTAATTGCCCTCCCCACTTCCAGAAGTAGGGTGTGGCTCAACTGATCTGGTCTGAGGTCTCCTAGTCTCTAAAGTTGATCAATAAAGGTTTCCAGCTGTCAAAAACCAATGGAGTGGGGAGAGCACTCCCTGTCCCTGGAGGCGTGTAAACAGGACCTGAGGGTTGATTCTGAGGTCCAGGCGAAGCAGCAGAGTTTCCAAATCCAGGCTGCCCATCAGTAATTCAGGACCCTGCAGTGACACGGGCAGGTGGGGAATGGAATCTACTTTCCAAACTGAGTCAGTATCAGTCACCACATGCATCCCAGTGGTGGGCATCAAAGGGGATCAGAAGAGGCAAACACCAGGCTGCCTGCCACTGTGGGGCAGGCCTCCCTCCAGACATAGGCAGAGGGCAGTGGAAAGTGGGAGTGTGGGGAAGGGGCTTCAGGCAAACCCCCAACCCAGAGGACCACTGAGAAGAGCAGAGCTGGGGAATAGGGTGATGGGCGCCTCTGTCCATAGCCAGAGGAGGAGGAGGGGAAACAACAGCAAAGTGTGTCCCTGGTCCCATCCAGGTAGGTGGGCCAGACCTCAAATCCAGCCAAGCTGCTTCCTTCAGGACTATTTTTTGTGTGTGTGTGGTGCTTTATTTGCTTTTACTTCTCTTCCTCCTCTCCTGTTTGTCTCTATCTCACACACCTCGAGTCTACCTGCAAACTCACATCTGCATCTACTGTGTGCCTGGCCCCACCACGATCTCTAGGGTGACTGCTAGAAAAGCCCGCATGAACATGCACATACCAGGAAGCCAGTGCTCAGCCTGTCCATCCCCCTGCCTCCAAGCTGCCACCAGACCAGAAGGCCCCACCTGCTTTCTAGCACTGGCCAAGGCCTCTCTGACACCTTCTCCTCTCCTGCCTCTGCATTAATAGTTGCCAGCATTTATTGATTTATTGAGCGCCTACTATGTGTCAGGCTCTGCTCTGCCCACTTCACATGCTGCCTCACTTAACTCACTCGTTAGGCCAAACGTAACAGAAACCCCACACAGTGGTTTAAACAAAATAAACATATGTGCTCCTGACTCAGCAAGAAGGCTCTGCAGCATCTCAGGGGACCCAGACTCCTTCCTGCCTCACTGTTATCAGCACATGGCTTTTGACCTCAGGGGCACAAGTTGGCTAAGGGCTGCAAAGAGTTGGGACTGGCTCCTGAGTCTGCCCCACTTACCTGGACACTACATCCATCTGGGTCCCCACTACTCCAGAGTAGCTCAAGCTAGCTTCTCGTTGCTGTCCCCTCCATGTACCTTACACAAGGCTGGCCTCTCCAGTAGCTTGAGACCAGGAGGGGGACTCACTGAGGAGTGGACAGAGGTCAGAATACTATGTTCTAGGCACTAGTTGGCCCCCAGCAACCAAAGACCTCTGCCAGCTCTTTGCTGTATCAGCTGGCAGACATGAGTCCTGGTTGAGAGTGATAGCGACCAGGAACCAGGAAGTGAGCCAGTATCATCCCAGCCTTGTGGCTGAGGCCCCACACTGTCCCTGGGCCTACCCTTCCACCAACAAATATACTTGTACCTGTGGTTAAAATGCCCACATGCCCTGGCCAGCCCTCAGGCTACCTCCTCTAGCCTCTCTTCACTGCCCCTCTGCTCAGGCCCTATGGCCAGAGGGGCCCAGATTGCATACCCTTGGAGGGCCCTGGCCCTAGAGTCCCTTCCTGGGCTGCCCTGCCCTGCCTTTCACTACTTCAGTCACCAAGAAGTGTGTGTGGGTTAGCTCCAGGCCTGCCTTGTGCATGGCCATGGCCAGGGGGAGTGAAGCTGGGCACCATTGCCAGGGTACACCCCATGGGAGACATCACCACAGGTAGACTCTCACAATGGGTGTAAAGTGGGCAGGGAACGCTAACAGGCAGTCCAGGCAGGAAGGCGTCCCCTAAGTTTTGGTCTGAGCACATTTTGAACGGCAAATAAAAGGGAGCAAAGGGCAGGCCAGGAAGAGGGAACAGCCAGTGTGGAGCTCTGAGGCCCAGTACACATCTGGGGAGGGTGCAGTAGTTCACATGCCAAGAAATAAAAGATTACGTGTGGGGAGGTGGGGGGCCAGGGCACCCAGGCAGACAATGAGGCTGACAGGTCTGGGCCAAGCTTCCAACTGGGAAGCCTAGCAATGCCTCTGTCAGGCTTAAGGTCTAAGTTCTTTATACTTTCGATGGCCTCACTCAAAGAGGGGACAAGGAAGGAGCTTGTCAGAAGTGGGAATGTGAAAGGAAACACTGATCAGCCTACTAAACCCTATGGGGCTTCATTGGGGCCCAATAAAGTGACTGACCTGCCAGGGACACATAATTGGTGACACGATTGGGACCAGAGTTTTAATCGTTCCACTCCAAACCGAGTTCAAGTCTTAACTCACTGCGGGAACTCACAACACTTAAGTCCCCACACCCCTCAAGCTTCCTAAATACGCGTATTTCTCCTTGAGTCTTCATTCCCGGGGGTAAAGTTCAGCCTGGATGTTAACAGGCGCCCCCATGATTCCCACGCATATTGGCCAGTTTTGAAAGATCTCAGACCCCGCGAGCCTCACACGGCTGGCAGAGGCCGCTGGGGTTCCGAATTCCGCCCGCTGGCGACAACGCAGCCACCTCGCCTCTTCCGGAAGGTCCAAGCGCCGGGTAGCTGCGCCACCTGGCGGTCGCCGGGAGAGGTGGCCTGGGGCTTAACAGGTCTAAGGCTTCGAGTGGGAAACCCGCGTATCCAGTCAGGGAGTGACCAGCGTGGCCGCGCCGTGAGCTCTGAGCAAGGGGCCTTTGGCCCGACGGTGAAAGTCGCCCGTCGCTGGCACCTGAGGCCCAAACATCAGAAAGCAGCCAGGACCCAGAGGCCGCAATGCAGCGCGACGAGACGCCCCGCCCACCCTCGGTGCGTCACGTTCAGGCGCGCGCTCGCGACTGACGTGCGCAGGCGCTTAAGACGCCGCGCAACCGCCATTGCATTCCTGTTGAGGAGTGGAGTAGCCGGTTAGTAGACGTCCACGGGCACGGAAGAGGTGAGTGTGACGCCTCGAGGACAGTGGCCTGGGGGTTGCAGGTCACACTCAATCTGTGGCGCCCCACCTTAAGCTTGGCTAACTGGGGCAAGCAACTACAACCCCCAAAATCCACTGCGCCGCAAGACTGCGCGAGGCAGTGACGTAATGGGTTTTGGCCGCTACCATTTCCCTATGGGGCCGGGGGTAGGGGACGCGGTGGCGAAGGCTGATGTGTTTTTCTCTTGGCTAGAGGGTCACCAGAGGTCAGCGCCAGGTCTGCGGGCTCTGGGTGTCAAAGCATCTTCGCGAACTTTACTGTTTAACTAGTTTAAACCCGCAGTCCATTTACCCTTAGCTACAGCTGTCTGCTTGCTGTCCACGTTTCAACCCCAAGCGGGTCACTGAGCCAGCCAGCCACCTCTATTATTATTATTACTATTACTATTATTACTATATTATTATTATTATTAATTATTTAATAGTATTTATTTTGACATGATCTTTAACAGAAAATTTCAAGACTGTTCTTATAAAGAACTTTCCAATTAAGTTAGTTGCAGGTATGATGCCCCTTTATCTCTATACTTAGAGGTACTCAAGTGTGTATTTTCTGAAAGCAAGGACATTCTCCCACATTCAGAATAAGGTAACATTGATCAAGACTATTATCTAACCTGTTATTCATATTTAAATGCTTCCAGTTGTCGTAGTAATGCTGTGTATTGAAACTACCCCTTTCATGGCCTGGGATCTCATCCAGGATCACAAGTTGCATTCAGCTGTCCTGTCTCTTTGGTCTTCAGTCTGGAGCAGCTCCCCAGTGTCCCTTGACTCTGATGACTGACATTTTTGAAGATTCCTGGCCAGTTGTTTTGTAGAATTGGGTTTAGGGTTGTCTGAGATTTCTAACTAGACTCTATTAAATCGGCAGAGGTGGTGCTGACCGGATGCTGTTAGTGTGTCTTGGGTGGCCAAGGAGGACCAGTGACCAGCCACATCAGCCTCCAGACATGCTCCCAGACCTAGCTAGACCAAACCGTTTCTGTGGTTGCCTCCCCTCCTGGGGTTTCACGCTCATCTCACTGAGGTCTCTGGCTTCCTTTTAGTACCCATCCCAGAGCCATGGTCTATGCCTTTCTCATCCACACCTTGCGGGCCCCGAAGGCTGAGGAGGGCCTTTGCCGAGTGCTCTACTCCTGCTTCTTTGGTGCGGAGAATTCACCCTACGACCCAAGACCACGTGGTCCTGAGAGGGACAGGCTCCTCCGAAAGGAGCAGATTTTGGCCACAGCCAGGTAACCACACAATCAGCCCCGCCCATCCCCGGGCCTTCATTGAATGTACACCTGATTGTGATAGGTTTTTGGGGCGGGGGGAGGGGGCAGACAAGGAGAAACAGGAGGACTCAGAAGCAGAGAGAAAATTTTAGAATAGTGCTTTCAAAGAGTCTTCCACAGCTGTTCACAAGTACTACATGAAAAAGGATTAAAAATAATAACGCTATTATCATTCTTATTTATTTCTAATTTATTTATTACAGTTAGCATTTATTGAGCTTGTATGGGCTAAGCATTTATGTTGTGAGCATTTCATGTATATGAATTCATTTTATCTTTGAAACAGCCATTTGAAGTAGGTACATTATGTCCACCTTATACATGAGTAAACTGAGCTACAAAGAGTTTAAGGAATTTAATTTGCCCAAGGTTATACTTCTAGAAAGTGAAAGAACTGGGATTTGAGTGTAGCCAGTACAGATTAAACATGCTTTGCAGTGCAGGACTTTTCAGGGTCCTTCACGTGTCTTCAAGCATTATGAATCTCTGAGGAGAGAGAATGCGGGATATGGGAACTCTGCGCCAAGAGCTTCTGGGATCCAGGAGCACAGTTGGGAAACACTGTTCCATATGGGGAGACTGGCCTTGGACCTTCCCATCCCAGACCCAGACTGAACCAGCAGGTGCCAGAATCTCCTGACCCCTCTGCATTCTTGGTGGGGGATTAACACTCTGGGGCAACCCTGGGCCAGCATCTTGTTATCTTCTTGTTCCTCTGGCATCCTCCCCCTCCTGGCACAGAAAATCAAACATGTTTTTAAGAGCAGCATCTACACGGCCCAAATTGGAATATGATTCCTGAGGGATCAGAGAGATTTCAAAAGCCTGGATATCCAAATAGAATGTTTTTTTTTTCTTTTTTCTTTGGAGAAGGCTGCAGGGTGGGGTGATGGTGGAGAGATTGGGCAGCCTGGGTTGGACATGGCTTTTACTCCACTTCTCATCTCTTGTTGAGATGCTGAGGAGGCCTCTGAAGCAGGTGGGGGCAGGATCTTCCCCTGGTGCCCTTTTCTAGCCCAAGGAGCTGTATTCAAAACCTGCCTTCTCTTGGCCACATGGAGTGAAATGGTTCAGGACCTGGAAGCTGGAGCCTGGATTTCCATCTGGGCTTATGCTCCCTGCTCTGTGGCCCTGAGTAGGTCACTTAGTCTTTCCGAGGCTCAGTTTCTATATCTCGTCATGGAGATAATGGCAGCTCCCCGCTCCAGGGTCAGTCCAGGGGATGACAGAAATCAGTAACCCTCTGTTCTCTGCAGGCAGGTGGAGTCTATGTGGCAGCTGCAGCAGCAGGCGTGTGGCCGGCCTGCCATGGACCTGCAGTCCCAGTCTTCAGATGAGCCAGTGCCCCTGCAGGAGGCCCCATGTGGGGCCTTCCGCCTGGCCGCAGGGGACCCTTTCCAGGAGCCTCGGACAGTAGTATGGCTAGCTGTGCTCTCATTAGGCTTCACCCTGGTGCTGGATGCCCACGAGAACCTGCTGCTGGCCGAGGGCACACTCCGACTGCTGGCACGCCTTCTCCTTGACCACCTCCGGCTGCTGGTCCCTGGTGCCAACTTCCTGCTGCGGGCTGACCGCATTGAGGGCATCCTCGCCCGCTTCCTGCCACATGGTCAACTGCTCTTCCTCAATGACCAGTTTGTCCAGGGTCTAGAGAAGGAATTTAGTGCTGCCTGGCCCCGCTGACCCTTCACTGGGATGGGACTTCCCAAGAGAGCAAGGAGGGAGGACGGGGGTGGATGGACACACAGCCAGGTAAAGTTTGGCAACTGCCTTCTTCCCAGCCTGCTCCCAGCTCTGGCCTGCTGCCACATCCAGGACAGATGGATGAGATGTGCTGGCAGCAAAGGGGGCTGGGAGAGAAGGTGGCAGGTAGGAATCATAGAACATCCTGTACCTGGAACTGCCTCATGACTTATTCAGACCAATGCAGTGGGCCCTGCTTGTCCTTGACCCGACTTTGTCCCATCCCTGCCAGCCAGCCCCAAACAGTCCACCAGCTGCTAGTGCTGGGGGGTGGTGAGGAACACCTGCTTGGAGCTCAGCCTGCTACTGCTTCCAGATTCATAGTCATCATGGTGCAAAAGCAGGCCCTGAGACTTCTAGGGTAGGGGAGCTGGCCTCTGCCTTTGTACTCACTTAGGCATCGCTATCAAGGATTTTGTTGGTGAGGGCCTACTCGATGTCCAGCCATGTCACAGTTCACAAAGGTGTTACTCATTCAGCAGAGGGGCTCTGTAACTCCTTTTAGGCCCAGCCCACGCCCACTGGCAGCCTTGAGATAATCATGGGCTTCCTTTGTCTGCAGGGAAGAGGAGGAGCTGTCAGGTGGCTGTGAGAGTTCTGATGATTGTCATTCTCATTTTGAATAAAAAGCAGCGGCTGTGTGATTTCGCCCTCCATTTTTTGTGAGTTTGATTAATGCACATCTGCTCCTATGAGAAAGTGCATCTTTGTATGGCTCTGAGCTGGGTGTCTGAGCTTTTGTGGTCAAGTATGTCCCCAAGAGGCTTCTTGGGAAGTCTCCACCTCTTGTCCCCCTCACTGCCTGTTTCATTATATGCGTCCTTTGGATGATAGCACTTGCTTCCTCCACCAAAATGCGGTGGGTTGGTGTGGATTCCCAAGAAGCAGAGCCTGAGACAAGGATTAGGTACAAGCAGTTGATGTTGGAGGTGATCCCAGGAAGCACTTGAAGGGGAGACAGCCCGTACAGATGTGTTATCAAGGGTGGGTAGAGAGCTTAGCGCCTCTGGGGGCCAGTGCACAATTGTCACCTCTGAATGACTTCACCTAAGGAGTGAAAGGCTGTGGGTGTTTGCCTGCCACTCCCTTCTGTCCAGTTGTGAGTTGGTCCCAGGAAAAATTCCTTGACTCTTTCTACCCCCATAAAAAGCCCTTGGGTGGTGTGGAGCTGGGCCTGCCTGTACCATGGTCAGGCCCAAAAGGTTATGGGTAGGGCACCAAACTGCTGTTAGGGAGTCTTTACTCATTGGTGATTAAAATTTAGTGGTTATTTAAAATGATTCAATTGGACATCTATTTTCATGACCTACCTGTGACCTGTGAGGTGTGGCTTTCTTGCATGGGCAGAATGGGCCTCCTAGGCGGTCAGGGTACAGTGTCAGCCCTGTCTCATGCTTGTCAAACATCAGTTGCCCTTTGGCACCCAGGAAGGACCCACCCACACCCAGTTAGGAGGCAGTACCTGTGATTGGAGTTTTGCCCTTTGAAGTCTGGCCACCAGCCATGCTGTGCTTTCTATCACCAGCATCATTATTGGGACAAGGCCACCTTCTCCATTCTAGGATGCCACAAATCACCCTCTGAACTTGAAACCCTGAAGGAACCTCAGTCCATGTATGTGGCATGCTATGCCACTGGAGATGTCCCAGAGGCCACCAGTGGGACACCCCTGCCCTATAAAATCTGCTCTCCTGGGCTGCCCCTCCCCTTACTCCAGGCTGGTGGTCCTGGCGGAGTGGCTATATCCTCACAAGAACAGGCCCCTCTGGCTTCTGTTAAGGGCCCAAGCATGGCTAGTCTGAACCCTTTGTACCTATTTTTCAAACTGAACTTGAGGAAGAGGGTGAGACCCCATTCCCTGGAAGCTGTGGGAAGTTGGGGTTAGTTGAGGCTTGTGACCTTGGTTTCCGTCAGGTGGAGGAAATTGATACACAGAAAATGACAGAGAGTGAGACCCTCCCCGAGGCCACTGAGCCCCTGGTTTCTGTTGTTCCAGGTGCCCAGTTAGTACCTAGGTTTCCTTAATTCCCTGAGTTTGCTCAATGCTCTTTCTGTATGTTCCCACTTTTGCCCCAGCACCCCTGAGCCAGGTTTCCACCGCAACTTCGCGTGCTTACTTCACCTTCATTGAGCCTGTCTTGGACCTGACACTCTGCTAGGTGCTATGCAGGGTACAAGATGACTTGCTGGGATTTTGATTGATTGCACTGAACAGATGCAGGTGAAGTTGGGAAGAACTGACATCTTGACAATATTGAGTCGTCTGTCCATGAACAGGAAATATCTTGCCACTTACTTAGTTCTTTGATTTCTTTCATCAGAGTTTTGTAGTTTTCCTCAAGTAGGTCTTGTACATGTTTTGTGAGGTTTATGCCTAAGTATTTCATTTTGGGGGGTGTTAATGTAAGTGGTAATATATTTTCAAATTCAAATTCCACTTGTTCATCGTTGGTATAGAGGAAAGTGAATGGTTTCTTAATATTAACCTTATATCCTGCAACCTTGCTATGACTGTTTATTAGTACCAAGAGTTTTTTGGTTGATTCAGATTTTCTACATAGATAATCATGTCATCTTTGTTTTATTTCTTCCTTCCCAATTTACTTACCTTTTACTTCCTTTTCTTGTGTTATTGCATTAATTAGGACTCCCAGTACCGTGTTGAAAAGGAGTGGTGAGATGGGACATTCTTGCCTTGTTCCTGATTTTAGTGGGAAAGCCTCTAGTTTCTCACCATTAAGTATGATGTTTCATGAGGTTTGTAGATGTTCTTTATCAGATTGAGGAAGTTCCCCTCTGTTTCTAATTTGCTGAGAGTTTTTATCATGAGTGAATGTTGGATTTTGTCAAATACTTTTCCTTATCTATTGATATGATCATGTGATTTTTCTTCAGTCTGTTGATGTGATGCCATTAGTTAATGTTGAAATATCAAACCAGCCTTGCTTACCTGGGGATGGATTTATCTCCCAGTTGGTGACGGTATATACAGCGTTCTTTATACGTTGTTGGATTCTATTTGCTAATAATTGTTGAGGACTTTTACATCGGTTTTCATGAGTGATATTGGTCTTCAGTTTTCTTTTCTTGTCATGCCTTTGTCTGGTTTTGGTATTACAGTAATGCTGGCCTCATAGAATGAGTTAGGAAGTGTTTCTTCTGCATCTGAATCTTCAGGAAGAGATTTTAGCAAATTGGTATATTTTCTTCTCTAAATGTTAGGCAGACTACCAGTGAACCCATTTGGGCCAGCCTTGAATTTTTTTTTAATTTTTAATTTTTTAAATTTTATTTATTTATTCAGGGGAGTAATTAGGTTAATTTATTTATGTTTCAAGGAGGTACTGGGAATTGAACCCAAGACCTTGTGCATGCTAACATGCACTCTACCACTTGAGCTATACCCTCCCCCTCAGCCTTGAATTTTTTAAATGTTTATTTTTATAAACCAAATTTTATTTTCTACATAGCTAACATAGTTTAGAAATCAAAATGGTATAAAAGGTTTTTACTGAAAAACTTGGTTCCACCTCTGTCCTCATCCACCCTATCTTCCCACTGGCCTGGATAATAGCATTTTAGGTTCCTACACATCTCTCTCTCTCGCTCTTTATACACATGTAAGCAAACATGAACAAGTGTTTTTATTCTACTTCCAGCTCACACTGTTTTCTTAAAAGGTAGGCTGCCTACTATATATAGGATTCTGCACATGCTTGTTCCACTGAACAGTGTATCCTGAAATAAACAAACAACAGTGTATCCTGGAGACCTTTTTATAGCAGTACATAGCATTCTTATCCTTTTTTATTCTTATCCATTGTTATACTTCATTTAACAAAGCTGAAAATTACTGTGAAATAGTTCACGTTTACAAAAAGGTGCTTAGAATTATATAATGAGCATCTAAGTACCAGTCATTCAACTTAAGGGAAAGAAATGGCATTAACTCATTAATTTCTGCTTCTATTTTAATTAAGTGCTTCCTTCTGTTTTTATTTGGTTTGTAACTCTTTAAGGGTGCTTGTTAATTCTTTTGTTTTCAGTCTTTTTTAAAAATTGGTGTTAGTATTTAAGTTATGAATTTTTTCCTCTGACCACTGCTTTAGCTGTATCCCATAGGTTCTGGGATGTAGGGATTTCACTATTGATGTCTTCTAGAAAATCTGCAGTTTCATTTTGTCTCATCTTTTAATTCCCTATTTCTATATGACTTCACGAGAACAATATTTCTGAGTTCTTTTATGTTCAAAAAAAATTTTTTGGAGACTTTATACTTGCTTTCTTTGCCTGGGTGACCCAAAGTTTCTTTCTTTCTTTCTTTTTTTTTTAAAGCTCAGCATTTTTTTGGTTTGTTTTTGGGCTTTTTGTTTGTTTGTTTATTTCTTTTGAGGGGGAGATAATTAGGTTTATTTATTTTTTAAATGGAGGTACTGGGGATTGAACCTAAGACCTTGTACATGCTAAGCACACACTCTACCACTTAGCACACACTCTACCTCTGAGTTATACCCACCCCACTAAAGATTATTTTCTAGTAATATTACTAGAATATATCTTTTAGTATAAATGTAGCATGCTTTTTTCAGATGTAGATTGAAATCTTTTTTTTATTTTAGGAACATTTTCCTGAATTACATATATGTATATATAGTACTTTATATAGTATTATATATATACATATATATACACACACACACATATATAAAGTATAGTACTTTATTATTTTTTTTAATGGAAGTACTGGGGATTGAACCCAGGAGCTCATGAATACTAAGCATGTCCTCTACCACTGAGCTATACCCACCACCCCTGAATTATATTTTTAAATGGCTATTGTATTTCATTGTTTTTGTTCTCTTCAGAGATTCCAATTATGCACTAGTTGGCTCTCCTTTGCCTGTTATCCATAGCTGTCTTTAACATGGCAGATCCCAGAAAGCACAGAAAAGAAAATCAGCTCCGGAAGATGAATCTCTTATTACAATGAGGTAGGAACTGCATCTCAGTGGCCCCACTGGACCCAGTTTAGCTTAACCTAGGCAAGAGCCTGCAGGATGTGAAGTTCATGAGGTTCACCTGTGTAACTCAGATCTCTGCCTTCTGGTTGGTTTCAGGTCTTCCAACCATGTGGAGCTGGTCTATCCTTTAGTATTCCAGTACCAGTTTCTTGAGCCCGCATCCTGCCTGAAGTGGGATAGTCGGTACTGCCCCAGCACATCGTATGTGTCTCCTGGGCATCGCTTGTTCTCCTCAGCTTTTGCGGCATTGTGACTTGGATCTCAGGGCATGTGACGACTCCTTTCTCTCTACCCTGATGTGTCTGCCCAGATGCAGAATACATGCTCTTTCCCTTGATGCCCCCAAAGAATAGGGAATTTGGGAGTAGCAGACTTTTCCTAAAGTTTAAGGGGATAGAGGAGAGTTATCTTATAGAACAACAGAGCATAAGACTTGAGACTGTCGTGTTCCCTGAAGTCTCTGAACCATTCCCCCCAAGGAGGTCTTCTCCTGGTTCCCTTGGAGCCTTGGCCTCCCATCAACTTTCAGGTTGCTCCCTTCTTTTTTATTTTTTCACTAAAAATTGTTTTTCTTTCTTCTTTTTATTGTAAAATATGCATAACATAAAATTGACCACTTTAACAATTTTTAAGTGTACGATTTAGTGGCATTAAGTACACTCACAGTATTGTATCTATTTTCAGAAGGCTTTCATCATTTAAAACAGAAACTCTGTACCCATTAAGCAGTAACTCCCTGTGCTCTCTTCTGTGCTCTCTGGTATCCAGCACCCTCATTTCTTTTCCTGTTCGCACCGGGCAGTTTAGGGCTCCACCCCCCCACCTAACTTGTTCCCAGGCCTACCTTTTCCCCCCCTTAACTGATTGAACCCAGGACCTCGTACATACCAAGCACACGCTCTACCACTGAGCTATACCCCTTGACCCTCCCAGGCCTGCCTTTTGATAGCATAGCTGTGCCTCCTTAAAAAGGGGTGGGGGAAGGACTGTCTGGGGCTCCATCTTCAGCAGCTCAAAGCACATTTTCAGTTCTGCTTTGAAATCACAAACTCTTACAGGACATAATTAAATCTCAGGCAAGACTTCCTTCCACACTGTTATATGTAATGGAAAGATCTATCCTTCCCAAGGTGAGTCATTTGGTATATATTCCCCTTAAGAGGCAGGTATAGCTGTACTAATTTTTAACAGCTTTTTTCACCCCACCCCCATTATGTATGTTTATGTGTGTGTTATGTAGTTTAATACTTCTTTTTCCCATCAGGTTATAATCTCCAGGAGAATTTATATTGTGTCTTTTATTTTTTACATTTTACTTAACACCTGACATGGCACTGAGGCACATAGCAGCTACCCAATATATATTGAATGAATGCATGCATAAATAAAAAGGTGGTTTATAGGAGAGGCTTGGGGCCAGGGATTCTGCAACATCTCCATGTAGCAACTTTTTCTTTCTCCTGGGAAGCAGATAGAAACAACAGACTGTGTCTGTTGTCTCTCAAGGTTGGAGCTGCTCAGGATCATAAGTCCCTTTCCCAGAAGATAAGCTACTTGTTACAGCAAAGGAAACATCATGTAGCACTTGCAGGTTTCCTGCTGCAAGGCTCCCTGTGTTCGCAGGTTATGCTGACTTGCTTTCTACACTTCTGCTAATGAATAGGAATGATCCTTCCCTTCAGTGTTCTGAGAGAGGTTAGAGTTACCACAGGCCTATGATTTCTGCCCCTGGGAAAGGTGAGTAAAAAAGTGGTCAGAACGCCTCCTCTTTCTGAAACAGTCACCTGGAAGTGGCTTTGTCCACCCTAATTGTGCAAGCCACATCAGCATGAGGGTCCAGAAGTCTTTGGGCCAGTAGAGAATTCCCCTTCATGTAGAGCTGGAACCAGAGCATTTACTATCAAGGGCATTGTTTGGGATTGATACTTGATCAGAAGCAAAAGGACATTAAAACCCTTTGTCAGGTCTTTGGCTCATGTGACCCTATAATATCCAGGTGATGAAAACAAAGGAGCTCCTGGGCAAGAGGAGCCATCCTGGATTCCAAGAGGCCCTAAGGTAGGAGGCTGATAATGATCAGCAAACATTAATAACATTCCTATGTCCATGAATAATGAGTTAGTAAATATAATGAAAGATAAGATCCCATTCGGGATAAAGACAAAAAATATAAAATACCTAGGATCAAACATAATTAGAAATACATTGGGTCTATACAAAGAAGATCTATGAGCTATACTGAGATGCTAAAACCAGTGGGTGAAAGGTTGACGAGGAACAAGATTTGTACATAGCTTCTAAGTAACTTTCCATGAATTACTTATTAGCTAAAAATGGGGAAATGGTAAATTTTCGGTGGAGAAACTGGAGGGCACCCCCTTTATCAAGTGATCAAGGTGAACGTCCCCAGTAATGGGACAGACAGACATCCTTTGTCTCCTGGATGTGCAGGAAGGACACAGTGCCATGTCTGAGCATTAAAAATGTTTAACCTGAATCTGATCAGGAGGAAACCAGACAAACCCAAATAGAGGGAAATTCTCACTTGTACTCTTCAAAAATATCAAGGCAGTGAAAGGCCAAGGAACTGCTTCAGATTAAAGGAGAACCAAGAAACATGACAACTCAAGGCAGTATGAGTTTTCCTGAGTCAGGAAAAAATTGTTATTGTTGGGGCATTATTGAGATAGTGATGGGACCTGGAAGCCATAGACTTTGAAGGAATTCATGAATAAAATTCACGGATTCTACAAACTTGGATGGGAAAAAAAACTCCTTAAAAAGCTAATTATTTGAAATTAATATTTACTTCCTTTTAAAAAAAATGTTTACAGTTTTATGATGTACAGTTGGCATACAATGAGCCAAATGACATAAAATGGAAATTTGTTTGTTTGTTTAATAAAGGAGAAGTAGCTGCTTCTCTCTTCACCTTAGAGTGTCTCTTAACAATGTCATAGGCCTGAACATTTGGTTAGGAATTAGATAAACCCAGTCTCTGAATTTCACAGTAAAGCCTTCTGACCTTAGAACTCTATTCATGAACCTCTGAAATTAACTCAGGAGCGAGGTGGATGGGAAACTATCACAAGTTTCATTCGTCTCCCAAGGAAATGAGAGAAAATTTAATTGTTTTTTCTTCTTTTTTACATATATAAAATATGTGAAATGCAGCCCAGACTTTGTAGTGTCTTATGGAGTACCTGTATATTTGTAATCTGATCGCATTTTCAATAATAGTGTTTTATCTCTCCTCTGTTGGTACATAAAGTTCTTTCTGTTGGCAGGATTCCTTATTTCTCCAACATTACACATATTTAAAGTGTACAATTTGATGAGATTTGACATATTTATATATCCATGAAACCATCACCACCATCAAGATAGTGAACATATCTATCATCTCTCCCCCAAAGTGTGCCTTTTGTAATTTCCTTCCTTTTTAAATATTGGCCACAAATGACAATGGTATTAGCAGGAGCTGAGACTTGGGTCACCAAAAGGAATTATGGATATTTTAATATCATGATAAGAGTTGATACAGATCATCTCAGATTATCGTCTATGCATGATACCTCTTAAATGTTTTATTTATTTACTGAAACATTTGTTTAATAATAATTATATTCCAATATTATTGGGACTTTAGTGTAACCCTGTGTATCTTTAAAAACATTGTTCTGGCCTATGAACTATAAAGACAGACAGCCCAAAGAGTCACCGGCCTGAAGCAGGTTAAGTGCCCATGTTCTAAAGAAACAGAACAGCCTCATGTGTGAGACCCTTGTGTTGTGGCCTATAGGGCTGTTCCACAGGGAAGTCCCCACCTGTCCCCCTCAGAAGCAAGCCAAGAGGTGGATGTGCACAGAACTTCCCTGATGCTTCTTATTGCCTCACTCTTAATGCAAACACAGTTCACCAGACATTTGGGGAACGCCTACAACATAAAAAAGAAGCTAGATGAGCAAACAGCAAGAAATAGTTTCAGAGGAAGACCATGCAGGGAAAATAAGAGAATTTTTTTTAAAATTAAAAGGCTTTCTAATTTCTTTTCTCAGTAATGAGGTTCAAGAAGATATCACATCCATAAAGATACATTAAAGTGAGAAAAGCAAGGACAGATGTGTAATAAGCTGATAATTTTTGTGCAAACAATTACTTGGTTCCCTTGGAATAGAAACTGCATGGTTGAGGCACAAAGGTGAAAGTCAAGGATGTATAGCTGCTGTATTGCATATTTTAAAATAAAGATGTTAAAACGTAAAAAAAAAACCAGAAAACAAGAATAGATTATCCGAAAATAAACGTATTATTCCTTATGTTAAAAATTAATTAGAAGATTTGGAAAATAAAGTTAAGGAATTAAGGAACCTAAAAGAAGGACAAAATAAAGGAACAGAAAAGGGAAGATACAGGGAATCTTGTCACTCTGCACAAAAAAGAAGCAGGGTACTTAGGATTTGTTGGTTAGTTCCAGAAGTGGGAGGCATGGTGGGTGCTGTGGACTAGTGTGGTAGATTGCCCTGACTTTTTGACCCATCCTTTATTCACACCCTTGCAAGAGATAGAGTCTATTTCCACTTCCCTTGAATCTGGGCCAGCCTTATGACTTGCTTTGGTTAATACAATTTGGTAGAATTAATGTGCCATTTTGGAGCCTAGGCCTGAAGAGCATTTTGCTCCTTCTTCGAAAGCTGCCCAGCCTAGGCTAGGCCGCTGGAGGAGGAGAGACCACATGGAGCAGAGAGGATCCATCGCAGCTGAGCCCATCCTAGGCCAGTCAGTTCCCAACAGAATTGGCAGCTGACTGCAAGGGCTCTAGTGAGCCCAGATTAGATGAGAACTTCCTAGCTAAGCCCAGCCCCAAATTACCAACCCACAGAAGCGTGAGCTAAGTAAATGGTTGCTATTTTGGTCTGTAACATTTTGCGGTAGCTTTTTTACTCAGCAAAAGCCAACTGATAGAACTAGCTCCTTCTACTTCCTTATAGAGTGTATTCCTATATTGGGCAGAGCCTGGAAGGTAAAAAATTAGACTCCTTTGCAGCTACAGTTAACAATATTAAGATCTGACAATGAGATGCCCCACCAGAGATTGGGGGTGGAGGGGCAGAGATCATCTTTCTGCTGTCACTTCTGCTGACAGCAAGGACACAAAGATGTGAAGGTCTCACATCTCCGTAGCCAGACTCAGCATATTCCTACATCAGCCAGATTTTGAGACAGAGCCATGTGGAGCTGGGGGTGGCAGCAGTGGCCTTCTTTCTTCTGACCACGGCTATGGTGATGTGCTCTTGAACTCTGATACTCCACGGCAGCCTCCTGACTCCTGCCTCTTCAGACTTCCTTCACCATTTTGCAACCAATTCCCTGTATTAAATTCCTTCCTGTGAAAAAACTGACCATGTCAAGTGTTGGTGAAGAAGAGGACCGTACTGGAGCACCTGGAACCATCAGTGTACTGCTGGTGGGAGTGGAAAGTGGTGCAATCATTTTGGAGAGTTGTTTGGAACCTTCTTATAAAGCTAGGCATACTCTATCCTATTGTCCAGCAGTTTTAAAATGAGGTGTTAACGCCACAAAAATATTTACATGTGAATATTTATAGGAGCTTTATTCCTAATAGCCCAAACCCCGAAAAGCCCAAATATTCCATTAAAAGCAGAATGAATGAACAAATTGTGCTATATTCATATAAAAGGCTTAGCAATGAAAGCAAACAAACTCCTGATACTTGGCACAACATAGATGGATGTCAAAAACGTGTGAAAGATGCCAGACATAAAACTATGTCTTATGTGATTCCATTTATATTAAATTCAGGAACAGGCAAAACTATGATGATGGAATCAGAATCATGATTGGGGATGGAGATTGATAAGTGAGTACAAGGGAACTTTCTGGGGAGATGGGAATATTCTACACTTTGATCTAGGAGCTGGTTACACAGGTATTTAGGAATTTCAGGAACTCTGCTATCTCACTTTAAAGGCGTGTCCTGCCTTGTACTCATTTTCCGGTTTTTCCCCAAACTCCAAGTACGTGTCTGTTGCCAAGCAACTTATGTCAGTAGTTCTCAGAAAGGAGGGCCAGGATGGCGGCCCCTGAGTGGCAGGTGACGAGCAACCTGATGTTCTGAGGCTGAGAAGGAGGCAAGACGGGACCCGGAAGTAGCTGGCTGTGGCAGGCACTGACCCATGAGCTGACATGGGCCAAGTCCCTTCCTTGTCCTGTGACCCCTGAGAGATAAGGAGACTTATACGGGACCCTGTTACATCAGACCATGGCTTGAACCTTCTCATGTGCCTGGTCAAGGCAAGGGTGCCTGCAGGAAGCCAGAGGACTCAGAAGCTCAGTACTGTAGAAAAGAAAATACCAGAAGAAAAGACACCAGAGTGTCTAGCAGTTTTTTTTTTTTTTGAGTAATGGTATTATGAGTATGGATTTTGGTTTTCTTCATCAAACATTTCTGTTTTTCCTCATGTTAACTATATAAGCATGTGTCCTTTTTTGTAATAAAATTGACTGTGAAAATCAAATCATTTAAAGAATAACAGTTTAAAAACTTACTTGAAATGAGGTTGTATACGCAGGGATTATATTTTGTTTTTCAGTCATGGGAGTTCCCTGAAGGGACTCAGACATGAGAAGATGTCCTTGTTTGGGGCCTTCTGGCACGATCTTGGGCCTGAGTTTCTCTATGGGGGGGAATGTGAGCTGGTAGTTGTTATCCCATGTGAGCCACATCCCTCCTTGGTGCACTGGCCTAGAGATGTGGGCCACCTGCCTAGGGAAGAACTTTATGGGGGAGGGGACCTCCAAGGACCTCAAAGGGGAAGGGGTGACCTGGAGTATAGATCACTTTCTGGACTTCCCTTCCACTAGTAAATGGACAATGATCAATAAATTCTATTCATGAAATACAGTGGAATGCAATCAACAGTAAAGATAAAATAATATCAATAGCCAGATAGGGTCAAAAGATGATTTTTAAATTTTATTTCACTTAAGAACTTTTCATTTTGAAGTAATTTCAGACTTACAAAGCAGTTGCAAAAATAATACACATGTTTACATCTTACATAACCACAGTACAGTGACCAAAACCAGACCATTAACAGTGATTGATATTAACTAATCCAAAGGCCTTAGTAAGAGTTTATCATTTGTCCCATTGATGTCCTTTTTCAATTTCAGGGTCCAACCCAAAATTCCACATTGCTTTTAGTTGTTAACTCTCTTTATTTTTTCTTTAATCTGGAGTGGTTCCTCAGTCTTTCCTTGTCTTTCATGGCATTGACATTTTTAGAGTTACTCTGTGGATCAGTGCTATCCAGGACAACCTTTTAAAAAATTGTCCAATAGAACTTTCAGGGATGATAGAAGTACCTGTATCTGTGCTGTCCAATATGATAGGCATTAGCCACATGAAAATAGCATCTGAAATGTGGCTGGTGGCGCTGAGGTACTGAAGTTTATATTTTTTAAAATTTTAATTGAAATAGCTACATGTGGCAAGTGGCTACTGTATTGGACAGGACAGCTGTTGATTGTCCCTCGTTCTGGGTTTGTTTAATGTTTCCTCATAATTCACTTCAGATTACAGGTTTCTGCAAGAATACCATAGATGTGATGCTGTACTCTCCTTTGGTTCCCTGACAAAGGAGACAAAACCACTGAGGCCTAGATTTTTTTCCCTAGCGCTGTGCCTAGCTCAGCATGGCACAGGTGCCCTGTACATCACTGCACTTGTTTCTCTCTCTCCCTGCACTAGAAGCATCCTGAGGGCAGGGCTTATGTTGTGTTCATCTTTGCATGCCCTGCGCCTGTCACAGTGTCTGGCACTTAGGAAGTTGCTCGGTTGAGTTTACCGGATGAGTGAATCATAGGCCTGGATTTTTATTGTGGCAAAATATACATAAAATTTACCATTTTAACCATTTTTAAGTGTAAAGTTCTGTGGCATTAAGTACATTCACATTGTTGTGCATCCATTTCCAGAACTTTTTTCATCTTCCCCAACGGAAAGTCTCTACCCATTAGACACTAACTGTCCATTCTCCATTGCCTCAAGCCCCTGGCAAGCACCATTCTACATTCTACTCTATGAATTTGACTACTCTAGGTCCCTCATGTAACTGGAGTCATACAATATTTGTCTTTTTGTGACTGGGTTACTTCACTTAGCATAAATTCTTCAGAGTTCATGTTATAGCATGTGTTAGAGTTTTTTTCCTTTTTAAGGCTGAATAATATTCCATTGTGTGTATATACTACATTTGGTTTTATCCATTCATCCATTGATAGACATTTGGGTTGCTTCTACCTTTTGCCTGTTGTGAATAATGTCGCTATGAATGTGGGTGTAGAAACATCTGTTTGAAGTCCCTGCTTTCATTTCTTTGGGTATGTATCCGAGAGTGCAATTGCTGGATCCTATGGCACTTCTATTTTTAATTTTTTGAGGAACCGCCATATTGTTTTCCATAGCAGTTGCACCATTTCACATTCCCACCAGCAATGTACAAGCATTCCATGCCAACAACTGTCATTTTTAAAAAAATAATAGCCATCCTAATGGTTGATATTTGTTATAGACGGAATGTTTATGTCCACTGCACCCTCCGCATTCATATATTGAAAATTAATCTCCAAAGTGATGGTATTTGGAGGTGGGGTCTTTGGGAGGTGATTAGGTTATAAAGGTGAAGCCCTCAAAGAGAATTAGTGCTTTTTTAAGAGACCCAGAGAGCTCCCTTTTTCATTCTGTATGTGAGGACACAGTGAGAACACTGTCTTTGAACCAGGAAGTGGGCCCTTATCAGACATCTAATGTGCTGGCACCTCACTCTTAGCCTTCCCAGCCTCCAACACTGAGAAATAAATGTTTGTTGTTTAAGCCACCCAGCCTATGATATTTTTGTTAGAGCAGCCCAAATGGACTAAGTCAGAGTATCATTGTTTTTGAGGAAGCTGCGTGTATATATATATATATATATATATATATTATTTTTTTTTTTTTAATGCCCTGCGAGGTCCAGCAAAGACAGGGGTGACAACTGCTTTTGGAAGCCAGACAGCATACTTCCAATATTCTTCCTGCGAGAATTGGATATGAGGTCACTGGATTTGGGGCAGGTAGCAGGCAGGAGTAATTCTCAAACTAATCAACATTCAACCTGTCTTGGCTAAACAAGGCAGAGCTGGCTTTATCACAGTTAGTTGAGTTCAGGTGTGACATTAACACCATTCTGTAAATGCTGAATGTTGTGAAATATCCACAGGGTTACCACATAAGGTAATATAAAAAAAAAAGGTGTTCAGGTATCTTTCTATGATTCAGTTTGGGAGCACTGGCTTTGAAGATAGGCATTTACACATGATCCTGGCCCAAACTCTTACTCCTCAGTTGTCTTTTTTTTTCTTTTAAGTTGCAGTAAAGGTGTAACAATCTTAAGTGTACAGTTTATGCATTTTTTACATATGTGCAAGCCCAAGTACTCACCACTTACATCAAGATACAGAACATTTCCATCATCCTAGAAGGCTCTCTGGTACCCAACCCCTCAACACCCCCCAGAGATAGCCAGTGATATAATTTCTATTTATGTAGATGAGTTTTGCCAGTTTTTGAATCTTATCTTACCTTGTGACTTGGAGCAAACAGCATGTACTCTTTGTGCTTGGTTGGTTAGCCATGATGCCTTTTCATCCTGGTAAGATTGATCCGTGTTGTGTTTATCAATAGTTTGTTTCTCTTGTCTGTTCTTTTTCACTGCTGTATATGACACGGTTTGTCTCCATTTTCCTGCTGATGGACATTTGCGTTGTTTCTAGAGCTTGCCTATTATGAATAAAGCCACTATGAACGTTCGCTATCGTGCCTGTTTCTAGGTGGACCCATAGGTCACTCAGGAGTGGTTGCTGGGTGATACGGTTGGCGTACGTTTAACTTAAGAAAAGCCATTTCCCCAAATCTTTTGATCTCTCTTTAAAACAGGAAAAAAGAAACCTCTACTTGGTTATTTTGAGAATACTTAATGGGCCCTAAGATGTAAGACTTTAAGTCTGCACCTGGAAGCGAGCACTCAATAATTCCTGGCCTCTGCCCCAGCAGGGGTGAGGCGGTTGGCGAGCACTGCGGAGAGGTACCGCCCCAAATCCCTGGGCGGAGAGGACTTTCCCACGCAGCACTCAAGGCCCACACCGGAAGTGCCTGGCGAGCCAACTTTGGCGCCCCTGCCCTGTATATACCTACCTGTCCCCAAATTCCCCCCTCCGCCCCCGCCACTCCTTCCTGCCTCCTCAAGCCCAGTGGGAGCGTCGCCTGGCTGTGTTCTCGCGCCCTTGTGAGCTTTGTGTGTCACCCAATGTTTACTGAGCACTCTGTGTGCTGGGCCCTGGGCGCCCAGGAGCGAACGACATAAAGACCCTCACCCCATAAATTACTCGGCAGGAGGAGGGGTAGCTTTGCGTAGGAAGCGTCGGGACCGAGTCTGCCACAGTTTCTACTTGGTTTCTAGCCAGACCCTTGGAGAATTCCCCTGGAAGTTGCTCGAGAGGAACAAAAAAAGATCATTTGCTCCTCCGCGCCCCAGCAGGAACCGAGGCCAGTCCCGAGTGCGTGTCCAGCGCGTCCAGGCCCCTAAACCGAGGCCAAGCGCCTGCCCCCGCCGCCCTGAGGATCCAGCTCGCCCGGAAGCCCCGCCCCCGCCGTTTGGCCTATGGCCGCGCGGCCCCGGCCCTGCCCCTCCCTCCCTCCCTGCCGGGGACGGTTCCGGGCTGTCCTCGATCAAAGGCTGGTCGCCTGACCGCGAATACCCAAGGTAAGAACGCTGCGCCGGGAGCTCTGTCCTCTCAGCTCAGGGCGCACGGACGTCCTTCCGGAAGGTGGCCTGCGGTGCAGGAGCCGAATGGGACTCGGGAGTCCTCCAGGCGCGTGGGCCGTGGGGCGCGCGGGGGCCAGGAAGAGTGGGTCCTAATTAAGGCACGTGGGTCGGGGCATCGAGGGCTCCGCGCGCCGCGTCTTGCACCAGGGACTCAGGGGGTGGGGGGAGTGGCGCGGGGCGTCTGCTCGGGCTGAAGGGGAGGTTGGGGCGGAAGGAGTCGGGTGCTGGCTGCTGAGCTCTTCCAGCCGCTGGCAGGCCCAGGGTGACCTCCAGGCGAGGCCTA